TTTTATTTATTTATTTATTTATTTTTAAAAGATTTTATTTATTTATTTGACAGAGATCACAAGTAGGCAGAGAGGCAGGTAGAGAGAGAGGAAGGGAAGCAGGCTCCCTGCTGAGCAGAGAGCCCGATGTGGGGCTCAATCCCAGGACCCTGAGATCATGACCTGAGCCGAAGGCAGACACTGAGCCACCCAGTCACCCCTGCATGCATTTAGTTTTAGTAAATACTGTCAGGTTTTTGAGAATTGTACTGATTTTAATTATTTAATATTTCATGGTTTAATCCCTGGCAGAACAAGTTTCTTGGGGAAAAGAGACATTATTCTTCCATTAGAAAGTGACACTTTCTTGGTTATTGTAGTATGCTTGGTCTTCAGACTTTTGATTAAATTGGCATTGGATTAAATTTGTGTTAATGGGGGGAAAATCATACTCTTGCTTGTTTATACATGAATTCCATTTGGAACTAGCCCAAAATCTTTTGTCAGGATCCTGATTCTTTTTTGTTGTTGTTGATTTTGTAGAGGGAAGTTGTGGTGTCAAGAGAACAGTCTCTCCATTACTATGAGAGTAAAAATATGGGTAAGATGAGCCCTACCATGAACCAGGTTATAACTAGAAGCACTGATAAATGTATACAGATAGCTATAATACAAGGTAGAAAATAACAAATGATAGGATAGAAATTTATGTGTATTAGTAACATATAATAAGATCCAAAAGACTGTGGTTATTTACAGAAGAGCTTAGAGAACCCTGTGAGATACAGCCTTTAGAACGAATAGAGTTTTTAATAGGGTATGGTAGATTGTTGGGGGATAGAATTTAGTTAGCAAGGGATAGGGAAGTATTTCTGAGTGAAGTGACCTAAGAAACAAAATAACTGAAGTCAGAAGATCCAAAGGCCAGCATGTAATAACTAGTAGTCCAGGGATGGGACCAGATCATCAAGTACCTGGTAATAATGTTATGTAGTGGGCAGTAAGGGTTGTATGAGTGGGTAGAGATCAGTGACAAGGACCTCATATGATATGTGGAGTTTGGAATTTATCCTGTAGGCATTGAGGAAGCATAGACTATTTTGAGCTTGAGAGTGATATGAACAAAGTCAGGAAGATAATTCTAGTAGAGGAAGTAAGGGATAAAGGCAAATGGGAAACCAGTTGAAGTAATGAGGGTCTGTACTATTTTGGTATGCATGGAGGAAAATAAAAGGAAGTAGGAGATATTTCAAAGGTAAAATTTATAGGATTTGATTATAAATTAAAAACGTGGTACAATGGAATGAGCATGGCCTTTAGAATCATACAACTTGTGTTTGAATCATAACCTTTATTTACCAGTTAAATGACCTAAATATAAATAAAGCAAGTCACCTAAGAGAAAACTCTCCTCTCTGTGAGCATCTTCAAGCATTAGAAGTATAAAAATGAATGGTGCAGAGTCTGGACTGGCAGGTTTGGGCCAAATTGTGTATAGTTTGATCTGAAGTGTTTGGGAAATTGGGTTTTATTCTGAGAACAACCAAAAGGCAACAAAGGAAGAATTGGGGGTAGTGTTGGAATATGGGGGATTTCTGAGATAGAATTGGTAGCACTGGGAGAGCAATTTGTTTTACTGGGAAAGAGGGGCCTTCTGTTTAGAATATGACTCAAAATTTTCCAATTTGGGAAAATGGACTGATAGAGCCATTATTACCTTATAAGGTTTTTCTTAATATGTGTGATAAATCTTGATCATGCCTCAGAGCTTAGTTTATATGTCACTTCATGAAGAATGCCTTTCCTGTTTTCCTGGATTAAGTCAGAACTCAATATACACTTACCATATCCTTACCGTTTCTCCCTCACAACACTGAATTATGCATTGCAATTGCATAATTTACTGTGGCTTTTATTTGTGCCCATTTTGCTTATTATATGAGGACAAGAGACTATGTCTGATGTCTTAACTGTTTTTATCCACTTCACAGGCACTCAAAATCTATTATAATTTTTTAATTGTGATATAATTGATGTAGGACATTGTATTAGTTTCAGCTAGTAGACATTTTTTGAATGAATGAATAAGAATTTGAAGGTTAACAGGTATCAACCTGCATAGTGGTTAGGCTAAACAGAAATGAGAGGGAGAAAATAAAGAATGGCGGCAACCAATTTTTTTCAGCCTCTAACCAGAAGAACAGCAAGATGAGGCACATTTAAGGTGGTGTGACTTTTGGAAGATAACTGAGTTTGTTTTAGATGCTAATGATACATCAGGTGTATGTGGTAATTGAGAGTAGTAGGCTTATAACTTAAGAGATAAAGGCTTAAAGATACAGAGTTAGGGATCCTAAGTATAGAGGTGCTACAGAAGTGGATGGAATTGCACAGATGAAAAGGGACCTAGTGCAAGAAACTTGAGTGACCAAGACTGAGAGCTAGGAAGATGAACCAACAGATCTAGTTGCTGTCACAGGTAAAAGAGTGTATTATGGAAGTGAGAGGAGGTGAGGAACTATTAGCGGTGTGAAAAGCTACAGAAATAAAGTAGGATTAGGGGCCACAGGGTTTAGAATACTGAGGAGTGATTAACTTCTATAAGAAAAATGTCAGTAGATGGAAGGTTTTGTATATCAGAGGTTGAGCTAATCCTTTTCAGGTCTTTTAGCAGTTAAGGGAAAGAAAATAAGGAGCTGGTACTCAGAAGGGTTAATGGAGTTGAGGGGTTTATGTGGGGAATACTATATGAAAGCAGTATTAAACATTTAGCCTAACTCCAGAATAGATGATCCTTTGTGAAATTATAAATTGTGAAATTTATAAATGTGGAAAACTTAAGAGTTTCCACTTACCTATAAATTTAAGACATAACCACAGTGCAAAGGAGAAGGGAAGCTTTACCTTTAATTAGCTTTACCTATAAATTTAAGACATAACCATTTAGCTTTACCTATAAATTTAACACATAACCACAGTGCAAAGGAGAAGGGAACTACTGAGAGAACAACAAAAAAGTGATAAGAGAAGGTAGACTTTGAAATTAAGTTTTGACCTAGGTTTAGAAGGAGGTGAAGGAAATAAGCTATTGGAGAGGAGATGAAGCACTTACCAGCTGTAGTAATAATAATACAGAGACGTGTGTGTGTGGTGTGTGTGTGTGTGTGTATATATATATGGAGAGTGAGAGTTGGAAAATGGATCATTTTAAGAATAATGAAAACGTTAGAGGGGCAGATGAATGTAGACCAATAAAGGCATTTCTTAATTAGATTTTATTTCTTATTCTTAGATTATTATTAGACTGAGCCCTCTATTGGAGAGGGACTCAGATACAAATAAAATAAAGGCACTAGGTCTGGTATTAGGGTGCTCATGGTAAATTTTCAACGAGACTACCCAAGATTTCTGGTTCTTACAGTTTGTCTTACTTATTCTGTATCATTCTAAATTTGGTATATTTCCCTATGATTATGTGTTCCTATTCTTCTAAGGCAAGGTTTCTCAAATTGAGATCTGTGTATTGCCTGCAGTGTATGTTAAAAATGCAGATTCGTGTACCCCCCGTTTATGCATTGAATCACAGCCTTTGAAAGTAGAGATCAAGTATCCAATTTTTTACAGATTTTCCCAACTGATTCTATTATTGAATAGATTGAAACTTGGTCCTCTAAGATCTTAAAACTTGGTTAATTAGGAAAAAAAAAAGTTTATATATATATATATATATATATATATATAATATATATGAAAAAACCAACTCTCAAAGATTAAGAAACCCACCCAGTGCCCTACAGGTTGATGGCAGAAAATGCTCAGTGTGTGTGTGTGTGTGTGTGTGTGTGTGTGTGTGT